CTTGCCTTGTTCGGCGTCACTCGCCTAGCTGACCGAGTGAAGGCGAGCGCCAACGTGTATAGAGTTCATTCGGCTTATCACAAACCAAAGGCGCTCGACCAATAGCGTTCACACGTTAGTCCGTCCGCATATGAAATGCATACTGGTTTTAAAACTCTATTCAAAAAAAAATCAAAACACAAAATAAAGAAGTATATATTATATATCAACAAAATGTCATGTTGTTCTGGTTCTGGAATAATCAGCATCCACGTTCGTTTTTGTCATTTCTTTTTTGCAACTTTATTGCGATTTTATCGTGGGGAAAAGCTAGTACATGATAATTGTTGATTTCCGATAATTGATTTTTACAACTACTTCCATTATTTCTGTGTTAAAATTGCTTGATAGATTCATTTGCTTAAGAAAGCCCGGGAATTAACGGGAATACTAGAATCCGCAGAAACCTGAATAGACTTGTACTTGACGGTTAGTTAAAAGACGTTATGTAAATATGTACTAAAATGTAGGTTAAAGGCGTACTCTTAAAGTAATTTTTATATTTTATTTAGTAAGTAGGTACAATTAATACTACGTAATGTTAAATACAAGTAAAGTAGGTATAATTAAGCAAGAATGCGCATGTCGCCAACAAACTGCACAGCAGTTTGGTGACTTTTACTAATCAAATGATACCAGTTGTAATGTTGAAAATAAATTTTTTTTGAAGTTTAAAAATGTGTGTTGACATTTATAATAATATACCACTCGAGATTAAATTATCAGACTTGTGTTTGTTTAGGCATACTTTAGTTACAGTAAACTAAAGAAACAAAAATTCAAGCCATATATTTGCATGTCGATAGATTATGGTACAACACTAAAGAAATCCGCCATTTGTAACTTTCAAATTTTGGTAATATGCACGATGATTCTGTACTTAGGGCAGCTCCTTTCTTTTATTTTTTTCCATCCTCTAAGGTCGAAATGCATCTTATACATATAACGTCTGATTTATATATGTCAATATAACATTAAGGTTATGACAGCGATTGATAGACGGCTCGTTGCTTTTGAAATAATTATTAATCTCAAGTGTTTAGTAGTTTCCTTAGTAATTTTAGTAGTCTCAAGTTTTCTCTTGGTTTGCTTACAGTAGTCAAAATTGATGAAGATTTAGGACGGCTAAGTTTCAATCGTGACCCTATTACTTCATGTTTTGCTTAGAATAATAACGCATAGAAACCTAGCCCGCACACGCTAAGTGAGGCAAATTGTAGGACGCCCTATGGGCTTACACGAGCGAGCGGGCTGTCAGTGCTCAAGGTCAAGTTGCACCGCGAGCAGCTCAAAAATTTTTGCTAAAAATGACGAAATGTGCGGTAATTGGGTTAAAAATAGATTAAACAAATATAAAATAGACACTAACATCACATTCCACAAGGAAGTAACGCGTTTCAACTTGTATTTTTATGTAAATATTCACTAAAACAGAAAATTTATTTCGTTGCAACAAGATACGAAAATGTTGCAAAGTAACGGGTTTTTTCTCCCCATTTTGCTATTCTGTTTCAAAATAATTATGTTACGTATTTTTTTGAGAACAGGCAATATCGCGACGGTTGCAAAATTTCTACAAATGTACACCGCCGCAACAACATTGTAGTGAATTTACGTTAGCTATTTTTACGAAATATATTTAGTATTTGCCTTCATTAGTTTCATGTGAAAAATCATTATTCTTGTTCATCATACACTCATTTTAAAAAATTGTCTTGCCCAGACTCAACAGTTCTTAACTAAAATTATTTCAGGAAACTAACACTGACTAAAAAGTCATCGTCAGTTCTCCAAAATCGTGTATAAATAACTTAAAATAAAATAACTTTCAGGTTCAGGTTCTTAATTGTTATCGTGTACTTTTCATGTAAACATACGCACAGATAATATCAGGCTATTTATATATTCAAATTCGATAGTCGCACTTAAACTCGCTTGTAGGTTTTTGTTCATATATGAGTTAAATAAGAATTGGGTAGTATTTAATAAGGTGCCTACAGATTTGCTCGACATTGTCGATCGACAGTAACGATTCAGAATTATAGACGTTTTCGAGGAGTTTTAGAGTGCTTATTACGAATGTAGCATTAATTTCTAAATCCAAGATGGTTGACAACAATTTTCAAAAATGTATTTTTGGTAAACCATAAGGAAATGGCATGTATATCTGAATACAAGATGGAGGACAAGACTTCTAATTCTTCTTCTTCTAATTCTTTGCCATCTTGGATTTAGAAATATGTGCTATATTCGGAATGAGCAGCCCCAAATACCTCGAAAACGACACCCAACTTGCTATTATTTGAAAAGTCATGTCCGCCATCTTGGATTTAGAAATAAGTGCTATATTCCTAATGAGCACCCCCAAATACCTCGAAAACGATCCCCAACTTGCCATTATATGAAAAATTGTGCCCGCCATCTTGGATTTCGAAATGTGTGCCATATTCGTGATGAGCACCTCGAATACATCGAAAACGATTCCCATATTGCATTTATTCGAAAAGACGTGTCCGCCATCTTGGATTTAGAAATGAGAAAAGTCGTGTCCGCCTTCGTGTATTCAGATATAAATGCCATTTCCATAAGGATTACCAAAAATAAATTTTTGAAAATTCCTGTCACTTGACGTTGTCGAACAGTAACGATCGACAAAATCGAGCAAATCTATAGGCACCTCTAACTTAACGATGAGTTAAGCAAGATACAATTTCCCCACTTTTGAGGGAAATGTTATTCCATGGCATCATTATTTGTATATTTGTGTGCGTGCCGACGAGCGTAAATACAAGTTGCTTACGCTTACATGAATTTGATTTTTGCCTCACTTGTGACAGTTCGTTTTTTATGAAACTATCATTCTATGCGTTATTATTCTAAGATGTTTTGTGCCTAAGTGTAAAAATAAAGTTATAACCTCACCAGATAAACATGTTTTCCGCGTTCGACCTGAATAAAGAGGAATATTGTGTTGCTGTGGGTAAGATCCGAAAGGGTAACTCTTCATGTGAAGATCATTTAAATGCAAGTACTCGGATACTTACGTACCTTTAATTTTTAATAGCTATTTAGTCCATGTATGTAGGTGTTATATGTTTAATACATTCGCTTTTGTCTTTATTTCTAAACAAAGTTGTTAGCGGCACTTAACTATTTATAAACCTTACAAGTTCATAAACATTGCTCTCCGTGCATTTTCTGTTTGGTATCCTTGAAATAACAAAATCAATTTAACCAATCTTTGTAAAATTTTTTTTAGATAGAAGAGGGCTTATTACATTATAATTAATGTATATCAAAATAATTTATGGGAAATCGAAGACTGAAGTTACAAAACTGCACAACCGAAAATTCAGATTCTGAAAGTTCAATGAAGATTTTCTCATCCAAACAGATTATGAAGAAGCCTGTGCCTTCTTACTGGTTATTAAAAAAAATATGCTGGCTAATTGAGCATCTTGAAAAAAGTATTATGTTTATTCATTGCATATTATATTAAACTAATGTATACTAAAATAATAATAAATGCCTTATGCATTAATAGGTATTATCATTATATTACAATACGTTACAACAATACAAATCCAATAGAAGTTTCTACGTAGGAATCTTTAAATGAAACCAGCATTTTGGCTCCGCGAATTTCTATACTTTCGTAATTTTCATATTTTCAGGTGTATTTTAACAAGAATAGCAATTAAACATTCCTACTCGCGCGCATTTCCTCTCCATAAACAAAAATCAAACATCAATAAATCAGCGTGATATGACTTATGTCACCGATTTTTTTTTAAAAGACCTTTGACTACGATAGACACTTCTATGAATACTTCAGGCGTATTTACGACGCTTTAGAAGAAGCAATTTTTTTGAAATAAAAATAAAATAAACTACAAACTAGACAAAATAAAAAATGCGTGTCCTTTAGTTTTGCACTTCTTTTCAATACAAACAATAAAAAGATACGTTTTATAAATGAAACGTTGTCCATTGGGTGAAAGTTTGAATTTATATGAACGGTACTGTAACCTGGGGACGTAACTTAGGATGCGTAGCGAGAGGTACTTTATAAATATAAACTGGAATTAACTTCAAAACTTGATATTTATTGTATTTTTTCACATATTTATATTTTGAAGGCTACTTCTAGATCTCTCAAGATGTTCTTTTCTTTTAATCTATTTTTTTCAAACACATTCTACATACAAAACTACACTCGATCAGCCAGTAGTTCTACTCATAGAGTAGAGCCTAGACTACAGTACTTTTAAGAGTTTTTTAATATTTATTAAATTGTGGTATGGAACATGGACTGCATATCTCATATGCTTCTGAAGATGGATTGTTTTACGAAGTATAAAATACGTATATTAATGCAAAAACCTATTTTAAGTTCAGGTTAATTTTTGCTACGGATTTAGTAAGGAATTTTAATAGGCCTAGATAAAACGTTGATGTTCTATTGTAGTGTTTCTTTTTTATGATTTTTTTATTTTTATAATTTCAAGTGAAGGGACAAACCATGCGCCTGATGGAAAGCTACACGCCTGTCTTGACAATTGCAGTGCCATTCAGAGCTTTAAATCGTAAAGATCTGAGGGCACTGCCATTGCGCCCGTCACACTGAGACATAAGTTGACAAGTCCTATGAGCCTGTAATTTCACCAGCACCCTTAACCTTTAGAACAGGAACGCAATAAAGCTCACTGCTTGGCGGCAGGAATAACTAAGGTGCCAGTACTTCCCTAGACGAACTCTTTCACAAGGAGCTATTCCGCTACTAAAACTACTAGTACTGCTACAGTATATCGAAATATAGACGTCTCTTATTCGCTTGGTTGACCCGGCTTCGTGTTACATCAACCTCACTTAGGTTACACATGCTATCAAGCTGACATGAAAGTCCCAACAAGCTTCGTGTCTAATTTATAGACATCCACTAATTCAGCTTAACGTTTCAGACCTGCCGATCTGGTACTTTGATGGCTTCAATACGGATCAAGCCACGAATGACAATGCAGATACGTTTTTGTTTCCGCAAGTGATATATCATTGTCCGTTTAGACGTGGCAGCCATATTTTGGTTTTGGCGGATACCTATCAATACAATTATCAGCCTACAAGTTAGTATCATGGATCAGTAAAGACATCATCATTGAATAATTTCGACGATCTCGTAGCCCATCGATTTGCAATATGGGCGCTGGATAAGGAGATACCGGGTTCAATTCTTGGTAGAACCAAATTGGGAAATGTTCGTTTCTAAATTGATTCTGGTCTTGGTGTTCTGGGAAGTGCCCCAGAGTGAATTTCGTTGCTCTGGTACTCATAGGATAGGGAATCCTCAAGCTTTGTAGCAGGCAATTGGTGTGGTTGTCTTGCACATTATTATTACAGTTATTTGTGCGCAAAAGCTTAGATATTGTTGGAAATAAAATTACAGTTAAGTTTTGAATCTTCGATTCATGGTTAGAAAGTTTCATAGATTTCTCACAGATAGCGCTACGGCAAAAAGTAATTAAAAACCAAAAATAAAGATCTGCAAAGAGCACATAAAAAATTCACATGCTGGTTCATTTCATGGCTTAGTTAGGAGAGCGTCAGGCACGGTATGCCGAAGGCCCTGGATCGAATCCGGCCTGATTGAAGGATTTTTTTAGTGGTCGATCTTTTTGTTAATAACAATAACAAATTAGTGGAGTAATTTCACAAAGAATAATTGAGTATCATGGAAGTGAAACACCGTGATATTCTATAAACTTAATACTACTTATAACGTATTCATAAAAGTTAACGTGAAAAACGTATTACCACTTAAAAGATTTATTTTTCACACAATATTGGCTTACGTTTATCCATAATCGCCTTTACGGTAAGTAAAGTTATGGCCGATAGAACAAGAGCTAAGATTTAAATTTAATTTTGATTCGCATATCTTATCCTAAGATTAAGTATTGGTAGTGTAATGGTCTAATGGGCTTATTTCTGAATTTTTTGGAATTTATGTGCGATATTAAGTTTGAAAGAAGGATGGCGACACCCCGCTTATTTTGTGACCTAGTGTTTTTGACAACGTGCATTAAAGAGACCTATAAATATTTGTGATTTATTATCATTGCTTCAAAAAAGCTAATTGAGTACAGCCTGTACTAGCTGGGGTTATTAAGTTGATATAGGTTATGTTTATAACATTGTCCTGTATTTCGTTTCATAATGTTTGTTCGCAGTAGTAGAAAACAACAAGTTTTCAGTTTGCTCCCAAAAATAGTAAAGAACTTGATAAAAATTCCTAAATCTGCCAAACTCTGCCACATTTTGTTCTACCGCGATGAAAATGAATAAAAATTAAATCTGCCCAAATGGCAGAAATCTGCGACAAATGGTCACACTGTTCTCAATCTCAATGTGACATTGACATTGGCAAGAGGCCTCTTCTCAAAACGTTCCTTTGTTAACTTCTTAACTCTCATTTAAATATTGTCTTTCATTTTTTATTTTGTGTCATTACTGTTTGATTGATTATTTGGTTAGGTATTTCATAGCTTTTATGTTATATGTGTGTACTATAAAATAACTAATACTTTAGGTTTGTAAACATTCAATAATGCTTAAAATTTTAATGAAACGTACGTACAAGAACGTTACCTAATCTATGGTCGAACTGAATCAATTACGTTGTGTTCTTGCATTTGTTCTAAAATAAATTGTTTCTTGTTTTTATTCCTGACTTCTAAAAATATACAAAAATATATTATATATTATAGTATTATATAATAAACTAAAACGTAAAATCATACTAGCAAAGTCCTTGAACGTCTCTTCTTTGATTTTGTAATTATTGGGTCAGCTTTCGCCATCCTTTCATTCATTTTATTCCACGAGCTTTTTGGTGAAGAAAAACATTGTGAGGAAACCTGCACACATCTGCAAAGCAATTTCATGATGTGTGTGAAGTTCCCGATCCTCATTGGCCCGCGTGGGACCCGAACCCTCTCTTTATGAGAGAAGTCCTATGCCCATCGGTGGGAATATATAGGTTAACTATATATATTCAAATTTTGAAAACAAGTGGCCAGGAACCCGAGAAAAGGTGATAAAAAGGCGGAATGACGACGGAAGGATGTCGCATCGTCACATCCTTAACACGTTCCCTATACTGGACGGTGCTACCAAATTGGATGGGAAAATGTTCAAAAAGTTTGTGTTCTGTGTTGTAAATAATGAATATTTCTTAAAATTGTCAGTAATATTTTCCTTTTGTGTTATATAACGTCTTCCGCCACAATTCCGCCTACTACAAAAAAGTCTCTCTACAAAACATTTTAATGTTAACAAAGATATATGAGTCAGTGACAGAGCCAGAGGCCTCCACCCCTCTATACATTCGACAGGCATGATAAATTACTCTGCCACTATATTGTCAGATTATATAATCATGTTATGTCAATAAGGTAGGAATTGGCTTAGCATGCGTCCTTGGTTACAGCAGCCAATTTTCAGAACTGTATATTGTTAACATATGACATTTAAATCAAAAGTCCTTATTTAACATGCTACGTAATTAAAAAACGAGGATACAAAATGATAATAAAATATTTAAACTCTAGTGCCATTTATACAGGGTGTAAATTTGAGACGGGGCAGCAAGCCTTTTATCAAGCACTTTAATCGTTGTAGTTACAGGAAAACGGTTCTAGAAGTCTATCCATGGATATTGAAGATATATTGATTGGCGTTCACAGATTTTGAAAAAAATGGCGCAGGCGCAGTCAGCAAAATGAAAGGCAATTTATGCAAAACTTTTTTTATGCCATTCGATCCGGTCTCTGGTATGGATCAATAGTCTCTATGGGACCAACTGAGGTAAGAGTATTCGAAATGTCAGAAATCGCAAAAAAAATTTTACCATACATTTTGTAGGGACATATCTAGTCATCAGTTGTTCTACATAGTTAAGGAAACTAACAAATTGACTACGTATTATGTATTTCAAAATAAAAACAATAACGAAAAGCAAAATTACATAAAAAATGTATGTTAGTAAGTGCTCGAATTGATTGCCGCTTTGGCGGATGCATCGATTCGCTCTCTTCCGCAAAGAGCAAGAAGCGGCTGAAATTTTACGCCAATTCATTTATTTCCATATTTGAGAACAATTTATTAAAAACCGTATTAAAAGTGACAATTCTCTATTAACAAAACAAAACAAAGCTGCTCGAAATTAAAAAAATAATGCTATGATTATAATTTGGTTTTACTTAATTCTTAGTTGTAGACACATTTGTTAGTTTCCTTAACTACCTAGAATAATTGATTACTAAATATTAGTAACAAAAAAAAATTACCATACATTTAGTAGGGACATGGTAAAATTTTTTTATGCGAATTCTGACATTTCGGGTACTCTTACCTTAGTTGGTCTCATAGAGACTATTGATCCTTACCAGAGACCGGATCGAAAGGCATAAAAAAAGTTTTGTATAAATTGCCTTTTATCTTGCTGACTTTACCATTTTTTGAAAATCTGTGAATGCCAATCAAAATATCTTCAAAATTCATGGATAGTTCTAGAACCGTTTTCCAGTAACTACTACCATTAAGGCAGCTGGCCTTGCTGCCCCGTCTCAAATTTACACTTTATATATGTCGCACACGAAATCAAATACTGTCGTAACTTTAAATTGTGGAATGGAGAATACACGATTTGAAAATTTAAAAAAATATTGCATGATACCAATAATATTTATTTATGGAGAATTCCGTTTTTTTTACAATACCAAATAACGGGACGAACAACTTGTGTGCTAGATGGTAAGCTACACGCCTGTTCAAAACAGTTGCAGTGCCACTCAGAGCTTTAAATCACAAAAACCTGAGGGGCGCTGCCACTGCGCCCGACACCTTCAGACATAAGTTGACAAGTCCCATGTGCCTGTAATTTCACTAATCATTTCAGTAATTAATAGTCAGCCCAGCAGACTTTCTTTCTTCACCACAGCTCACCTTTGTATGTTATGTCCTTTGTCACATGTGTTTTTAGTGATTTTCTTTTCTTTGTGCAATAAAGACTTTGGAATCGAAATATGACAGCTACATATTTCACTATCTCATATTTCATAAGTATATACATTTATTTCGCTATTATTCTGCCATCGCATGTACACACAAAAAATTATCAGACACACACATACACACTGAAGCAAAAACTATAATTACAAATACAATTATAAAATATTCAAGAACAATACAACATACAAGGCACAAATTCCAAGAACCTTGCATCTCGGGATTGTTTGTCACGCAGACATTGTGAACATTTTCGTCTGAAAATGACTGAACTTGCTTAATACCAAGAGCTCCAGTTTGTGTACTTTAGAAAGTGCTTTTCGTGCAAATATTCAAATGAGAAGTCAGTTATGGCTATATCGAGGCATGACCGCCGAATTATCGTAAGCGACATTTTTACCTAAAGAGCGTTTTTTATTGCATCATTACTTTAAAACGGACAAGGACGCGTCGACACTTCCGTCTAAATTACGTCAAATGAAAATTATAGCTTATATTAAAAGCTTTGTCGTTAGTTCAAGTCATCGAGTATATAACCAGAAAATTAGAGACGAAATGTCATTTGTTTGAAAACTATTCTGCCAAATCATTGCGGTGACAACTGCGCTCCGATTGGCCAGCCCGAATTCGAAATTAGTTTTAATCGCTCTCCTGTAATATTTTCCAAACACACGTTAAATGTTTTACCTTTCAGCTGTCGAGCTGTTATTTTATATTTTAGTGTAACCAACAGAATCAATATTAAAAAACCATAACGTAACGTCATAACTTGTTATTGCAACTGACATAGTACACGACAATTTCGTCTTTTGCTATAAAGTTAAAAAAAGACGTGTTGCATCTTGTTGCATATTTTTAATCGCAAGTGTTACCTTAAACGCTTGAAAGCCTCAAAAATCTATAAATAGAGATGGCAACAATATTGTAAGTGCCAAAAACTTGTTTAAAAAAATTTTGCTGTTACATAATCGGTAACGAAATTCATTATTATGTAAATTCAATTTAGTATCACATTTATGTAGAATATTTAAAAAACCTTTCCTGTGAAATTTGTTTTTTGTCGCTCACACTAAGTCAACTTATGGTAAAGAAAAAAAAAATTACTTAAAAAAATTATAAAAGAAAAAATGTAGGTAATTTAAATACGCCAAAGAGAACGTACATTTCGCCAGGTAAGTACTTTGTTGCCTGAAACTGATTTGTTTATGTAATAAGTAGTTTGTGAAATGCAACCACTTTGTTTTAAAATGTAGGATTTTTTTTAAACTGGCTTATACAATGCGAAAAAAAAGTGTCACAGTTGTGACATAGTTTTCGGTTTTGACAACAGAGCTTAATGTTGCATAACAAATAACGCAAAAAGATATAAGAAGGAAAGCCATTGACTTACAAATAAATGGACGACGGGTCTAATACAAAAACCACGAAAAAAATGTCCCAAGTCAACCTATTTAAACGTAGTGACATGTAAAGGAATGTGAAAAAGCTAAAACGTTGAATTTAAATTGTAATGTCATCGCAGTACTGTCTAATTCTGCTTGCTTCGCTGTCAGTCGAACAAACGAAGATTAAAGCGTGAATGACGCTCTGTATACGATTTTAACGCCCTATAAGTTCGGATACTTTTTAGCGCGGACCCGACGTCCATATAATTGTAAGTCAATGAGGAAAGCCTAAAAATTTTATAAATAAATACTATTACATGTACTTAGTCTCATAAATCTTAATAGTTAATATATTGACAATGTCCACCGCCCGAAAGACACTTAAATGTTTTGTTTATTTTATTGAATACCATGATGTTCTTTTTTTTACAAATACAACAATTCTTTATAGCCACAATGACACTCTTTTGGACCCAAATAATATGTTAAGCAGGACAAAAATCAATAAACGGTACGCTAAACATTTCAGTGGTAAAAGGAGGTGTCCTAGCTTGTACTGCCTAGAGCCGTTGTTGTCGCAGGCATCGCTGTTTTTCAGCCACTTTCTTGTCTCTAAGATAGGCGGGTTTAAATTACGAGGGCCTAAAACAATGATAAAATTTGAAAACTTTTATTCATTATTATTATATAATAATTGAACATAAACTTAATGTAACGAAACAAAAACTAGTATAATAACATAAAACATATCATAACTAAAATAAGTTTTTACTATTCTTCATCACATAACGATGGTACAGTAGGTATATACCACATATACATTTTTACCTACTTATTAGTTTTTTACAACATTAATTATAGGGTATATCAGGTTTGCGCTATTTAGTGTTATTAAAAACTGGAATCTACATTTTAAGACTCGACTCCAATTCACAAGACTCAACTCATAAAGACAGAGACTCACTGCTCGATATATTACGAGCCTGTCGAGTTTCCGAATACACTCGAATTCGACATTCGTCCCGTCACTTGATGTTATAAAAAAAAAATTGTGCTCGAGTCTATTTAGGCAACGAGTCGAGCTCAAGTCTGGTAAGTATCTACTGAGCGGTGTTATGGTGGGTGTGATATACTGTAGTACAGATATTAATTAATTTTTTTGTAAATCACTATGGGATTTTTCTTGTTGATTTAATTCGTGGGCATTAGCAGTCGTTTAGTAAAATTGAACCCTTATCTTGCTTGTCGTATTCATGTCGACTTTGTGGAGTAGAAGTCGCTTCGAGTCGAGTTTTGGAAGGGAGGCTGCTTTCGTGCACCCCATGTTTGTACTACCTACATGTTTTTACTAACATGTTATTCATATATTTTTTGTGAAAATACTCCGCTAATTGGTTGTCAGTATTAATAACAAAGAACAAACAAACAGAAAAAATCCTTTGATCCGGCTGGCACAAAAGAGAAATTCGTTCCATAGCTCAGTTGGGAGAAGGATAGACCCGGTTTGGTGCAAAAGTAGCTGTTTCGAGTCCAGTTCGGATCGAAGCAATTTTTTTGTATTTGTTCGATATTTGTATCAATCATAACTTAAATGCTTTTTTACAAATATTAAATATAAAAACTATGGATCCATCGAATGTAGAAATCGCACAAATTGAGCTGGTGCGAATTTTGTTACTAGCGATGGGCGAGTCGAGATATTCGTGAACGGTGAATCGTCGTCGGACCGAGTTCATATGTATACACGTGTCGAATCGCTCTCGATACCCGCGACTCGCGATTGCTCTGTCAGACACCGTGTCGAATCAATTCGAGTTGAAAAAAAAATATTTCGTCCCATCATCGCTATTTGTACTGTACTATGACAAATGTTGTCTAATTGTTTTTCTTATGATGGTAATTAGTTAACCAATAAAGTAGTTACTATGAATAATAAGTTAAAACAGTATATTGTTCTACTAGGATGGAAAGAAGGTCACTGTAAAGTGACACTTTAAGCTTCAGCTGTGGGGGAGAGCTTAAAATAGACTTGACGCCTAAGTGTAACTACGTCGCGACGTTCTTTAATAAATTTGAGACAAAACTGCGCATATTGTTGCGTTTTCTTCAATTTTTACTTTTCATCATCATCACTAACTCATTCGACGCAGGTTTCATCACGATGTTTTCCTTCACCGAAACGCTGATGGTAAATATCAAATTAAATTTACCGTATAAATTCAGAGAAAGTCAGAGATGCGAGTCGCGATTGGAAACTACGACCTCTGCTTGAGAGGCGATAAGTCAAACCATTAGACTACCATGGTTTTACTTTTCTTATTAATCCGATAATTAAATTGAATTACTCATGCTTGTGTAATACAAACTAAATTTTGGCGGATTTCTGTAATTACGCACATAGTATAGTTTAAAATTGAAACAAAATTAAAGGCAATATTATGGAACACATTCAACATCACGATAAAAAGAAATTGTAATACTGTGAGAAATAAATGCGGTTTGTAATAATTTATACGAATTTAGCATATTCGTTACATAGATTCTATATTTATGATTTACCGACATAACTAAAGTATTCGTAATTTACTTTTTAATATAAATAGTGCTTTTCATAAGGGTGGAAAAATGCCGCTTTCCAACACCTGGGCGGAAAGTACTCATCCCGCACTTTTCAGCTTTATTTAATGCTATTTTTCGAAGCACTTTCGATTGTTCCCTTTTTTCATTTAGCATTACCAGACGACTTGATGACGGTTTGTCATAACAAAAGCACATGTCAATGGAACATTTGACTTTTATCGTGACGTAATTTTATAAAATAGCACTGTTGTGGACTACGATCGGTTTTTACACCAATTTTATACGGCTATGCGACATGGATTTTTAAAAGTAAGTAATACAGCTTTTAAAGATTTTTAAAAGATGAATGGAACCCACCAAATGTGAAAAAAAAAAACCTGTATTTTTATGATGCCAAACGAAAGGGCGAAATATAAGGATTAATTCCTAATAAGTAACATAGCATTTTAATTGGCATTATTTAAAATACTTCTTCTCCGTGTCAGCTGTGAAACGCCTTGTTGAGAATGTATCATACAAATTAAATACAGTAATAATTTTATTTGTTTACATCTTCAGCAACAAATTACCGCAAGGCCTGCACAGAAGTTTGTGAGCGAGGTGAAGTAGAAGAGCCATGGTTTGGTTTCAACCAGGAGTTCTGCCTCTGCACTACTGATGGACGGCCTCTAGGCTGGCCGCCGGGAGGCTTCCCTGCTCCGCCTGGACCTTACTATTGCGCTGTTGGCGCTAATAAGATTGTTGCAAGGGACCTAATGGAGGCTTTTTACAGGTAGGCAGATTACAAAGTCGTTAAGTGATTAAGCACTGTTTATATAAAGTGAGAGGTCTCTAGTTCAATTTCCGTGTGAACCAGAAGCTCTTATGTTTTAAGCCAAATTATATGTAGACTCATAATCACTTGAATGCAGTAGTAAGTATTATTTACTTTTAAACATAAAATAAGGTTTCTGTGAACGAAAATATCCTGTCTGTGAAATAGCCGTGTGGCAACCTGTATTTATTATTTGGTACTTTAAAAAATATATGAAGTCAGAGAAAAAGGAAAGCTCGGTGAGAGAGTGGATGCTTTATTAAAATTCTGCTCAATTGGAAGGTCGACTGCTTAAATGCATGTTAGGACACCATGTTTCACTGATAATTGCTAAGTTACATTTAAAAATAAACTTAATTACTATTATTAAAGCCACAGCGGTATAGAGTTTGATTTAAATCGTAAGTGTCAAGCTTGACGTGCTCTTGACCCTGTACTAAACTTCGTAAAGTCCGCTATAGGGTTAGTACGACAGGGTGCGACTTGCGCGAGAGCGACATAAAACGCGAGATCTCTATGCGAGAATAGCTAGCCCTAGTGGTTCGTTCCGTAACTTAGTTCTGGCGTACTTAGTAATAGCCTCTGCCACGGTGTGCTAAAAGACGTTGGTTCGAATCCAGCCGGATCGAAGGACTTTTTTATAAGTTTTCGATCTGTGTATTAATAATTATAACAAACTAGTGGAGTAGTTTTATCAAATAATAGTAGTTTATGTGACTGTTACATAATGAAAGGCATTTAAATAGGTGTGTGGTTTATGTGATTCATAAAAACATCTCACCGAGTGTTTTAATGCCTAATTATGTACAGTTATATACACTTTTTTTTTTTTTTTTTTTTTTTTTTAATAAATAACGCACACACTCAACATAGCCCCGCACTAGGGAAACCCTGTGTCGCGGGTGCCATGGACACACATATAGACAGCCACAAATTACACCCAAACTCACGAGAGAAACAAATGTAGGCCATACAAACATTTCTCCCGGCCCGGGAATCGAACCTGGGACCTCTGCGTGGCAGTCCGGCATGGTAACCGTTCGGCCACGGAGGCAGTTGCTTTATCTACACACATATTATAAGCTCTCTGTGATGTGTTCAGGAACCGCATGTTACGACTGGCGAAATGGCGGCAAATAAAAACTTTTCTCAAGCATATCACACAACTGTAGTTTTTATTTTTAATTCATAGACTAACTAGAATCAGACCCAACTATTATATCGTTCGATCTCAAGTAACGTATGTAATTGTCAAAATGATTTGCTATTGAAATTTCATTTCGAATAAAACTTCATCTCGACTGATATTAGAATTGAAGTCAAATCAAATTGTTTTGTTTTTCAGAGATAATCGAAATTTGAAAGTAATAAAAACATCGAATTCGATGTTATTAGGAAGCAATAATAACATTTTCACAAAGAAAGAAATTTGTTCTAACAATTACGCTTGTCGTAATTTACGACTAGCGTAATTTAATAAAAGATTTACGGTTTTTGAACACGTTATACAGAGTTTTTGATAAGTGTGTAGATAAATAATTTAATATCATGGTAAAACTTCATGACATTCAATAAATAATTACGAATATTATGTGAATGCGAAACATCGTGACGAAACTTGCATGTCGAAAAAGGTTCGCAACCATTACAAAGCTTGTGAATTCCTCAAATAAATAAACCCCCTCAAAACAGACAAATGAGACGTATATAGAGAGAGACATTTTAGAAATGCGAAAAGAAAATTTTGGTTACGTTTTATTTTATCGTGGTTGGCAAAATTTATCTTTCACCAATAAAGGGCTACAGCGTGCGTGCGACTCTTAAATATTTTCTGAACTTCAATTAGAGCTTAAAATTTATGGATAGAAAAGGGTCCTCGATGCTCCTATTTATTCAGATTGTGGGTAGCTATTAATCATTCGATGAAAGGCCTGATGACGAATATGAATTGTTAATTAACATAAAATTAAGCAGGGCATA